TTAACAAAGTTCCTTGTTATTGTAATAAGTGTAATGGAAAATTAGTTTTAAATCAGACCAAACTTTTTTATGAATCGACAAGTGGTTCATTAACGATTCGTGATGCTTCAAGTGGCTCATCATCGATTCATGGTAGTTCTGCCATCAAACAATTATATCCAAATTTTGATGAATTAATACTCAATACTGGATCACCTGTCAAAATCGAATCAAAAGATTCAAGAAGCGAAATGATTGATGATAATTCACGAGTTTTAAGAAATAAAATGACTGATTGTTATCCGAAATTACCGAATTTACCTCAAAAATGTACAAGAAGGTATAAAAGTCATCCGCAAGTTACTGATAATTTGAGTGACTCTGAAAATGAGTAACATACTGAGTCTTCTTTAAGTAAGAATAGTGAATATAACAAAAGATGACATATTGAATCTCCTATGAGTGAAGACGAAAGTGTTTCAGATGATTTACTTATTTCTGAAACTTTTGAAGATTATTCTTCACTGAAATATGAACCATATTAAGATGAAGAAGAGAAAGTAATAATCGATGATCAATTTGCATGAATTTTATTATGGACAATGAACTTTTGATTAGGTTTAACATACTAGAGACTGCTACTGAGTCTCTTATAAAATTTATGAAATTAGTTCTAACTGAAATTAGTAGTGATAAGTTTAACAGATTTCCAAGTACTCTTTATTTAGCAAAGAAATCGTTTGGCTTCAAAGACCAATTTCATAGTTTCGTATCTTGTACGAAATGTCATAAACTTTATGATGAACTTTCAACAAAATGATACTTTATCGATTATAATAAGCAATCACATCGAATTTCTGAATTCATCAATTCACAGGTTACGGCCTTGTAATAAACTATTGTCTCATAAAATGGATAATTCAAATTTTTTCGACCAAAATTAATTCATCTATTTGTCAGCATTCGAGAATAACTCAGTATGATATTTTGTTGACAAGGATTTTGAAATTTATCTACGTCATTGGACCAATAGAACAAGTTTCGATAACATATTAGCTGATATATATGATGGACAAATTTGAAAGACATTTAAAGAAAATGGTTCAGAAATCTCACCGAATTTTTTCAGATCTAATGTAGCTGATTCACATCTAGGCTTAATATTGAATTTGGATTGGTTTCAACCATTTGATGGAACAATACATAGCACTATAGTATTATATGCCACAATTTGTAATCTTCCAAGAGACATTTGATTTAAGCGTGAAAATTTACTAATTCTTAGAATTATGCCTGGCCTGAATGAAGTGAGTTTACACAAAATAAATTATTATTTAGCACCAATTGTTAACAAATTAGAGTTACTTTGGAATGGTGTGATTCTAAATCGAACATACGAATGTCAAGAAGAAAGGAGAATTCATGCAGCATTAATTTTTATTTCATGCGATATTCCTGCAGCAAGAAAAATTTGCGGTCATGTTTTGGCATTAGTATTATGTCATAGGTGTGAAAAGAAGGCAAATTATGAAAATCAGCAACATATTTTGCTGGAATGAGTAATATGAATGAATGGTTTACTCCCTGGAATTCGTCACAACATAAAGAGAATACACTTGGCTGGTAAAGGTGCAATTCAGACGCTGAAAGAAAGTGATTTGTAAAGCATACTGGCATTAGATGTTCTGAGTTACTTTGTTAACCATACTTTGACCCAATTCATTTTTTAACAGTCGACCTAATGCATTGTCTATTTTTAGGCATAATGAAATAGATAGTTAAACGAATTTGGGATGATGAGAAAGTTTCAACTTCAGATGCTCTTAAAAGTATCCAAAGGAATATGAATACGATTCAAGTTCCAGCTGATTTGGGTAGAATCCCTCAAAAAATCAACTGCAGAAAAGGTTTTTCTAACTTCACAGCAGACCAATGGCGAATATTTTATACAATTTATGCAATATTCATCAGATGAAATGGAGCGATTTTGGTCTAATTCAAGAAATATACGGGAATCAATCATTACTGAATGTGAACTATTTCCTGAAGAAAGCTAAGTCTAAATTCGATGCAATATTGTCTAAGTCAATGCTTGATTTAATGGTTAAATACTACATGGCAACATATGAAACATACAATTTTAAAGCACTATTCGACGACGGTCCTGAAGATTCGATTATACTTAGTCATGTTAAAATAAATAAATTCAGTCAATATAGAATTAGTTCAGAGGTGTTTGACTCAGCCATGTCATCTCGACATTTGAAAAGTTCATTTATTTTAGCAAATTTTATAACATTTAATAATCGGATTGACTGTTATACTAGTCAAGTCCAGTATTTTTTTAAGCATATAATCAATTTTGAGGATAGACTGGCAGAACATAATTTAGCATTTATTCGGTAATATAAGCCAGCAGAAATATATAAAGTTTGATATTATTTTATTATTGATGATGATAAAAACTCTTGTAATGTTGAACTATAGAAAAATGAATTTTTTTCTGATGGTCATGACAGTATTATTCCAATGCATAATATTCTTTGTCAATTTGTACCAGTAAAATATAAAATTTCTATTTGTCTAAATGCCATTAAATATTTAGCCATAAATCTGATAAATCATAAATTCCATATTCGTTAACTTTATTTTATAATATAAATTTTTCATAATAAACCAAAACCTGATTAATATAATGCTGAAATATATACAATGTAACAAACGACAGTCAATTTATTATAATTTTCATGTCAAATTTTAAAGAATAACTGAAATTTTGCCAAACTGAATCATTTAAATGTTTGTCGAAAGGTCTTAGTATAAAAATAATGCTAAATTATGTGTGTATCATAATTTTTATCAATTTTTGTAACTTAAGTCGAATTTTGCCAAATCATGTGACCGAATCGGCTGAATGTTTGCCGAATGGTATTAATGCCGAAATAATGCTAAATTATGTATAATGTAACAAATGACTATCGATTTTTGTAACTTAAGCCGAATTTTGCCAAATCATATGACCGAATCAGCTGAATGTTAACCGAATGGTATTAGTGCCGAATGAAATGATTTCGACTAGTGTAAGCTATTTGGATTTTATAGTTGAATCATTTATTCCTGCTGGACGGTTGGCTCATTCCTCTGTCCTTGTAGAAAGAAAGCTTTATTTTTTTGGTGGATTGGATGATAGCAGTAATGTTTTATCTGAAGTATTTATCTTGATTAATCAAGGACATTTAAAACAGAAACACCATCATGGATAGATATGTCAGCTTTATCTGCTATTCCATTTAGAAGCGCATTTGCAGCCTCTGCATTAACTAAGAAGGATAATAATCCAACTATTTACCTGATTGGAGGATTTACGCAAATCAAAATAATGAAGATACATTTGATTTCCCTCTAGTACATACATTTAATCCAAAAACAAGTCAATGGAAAACGTCTTTAATTAAAGAAAAAGGACCGGAAAGGTGTAGAAACATTCACGTCGTTGCTGATAATGTTGGAAAAATTTATATTTTCGGTGGAGAAACTGATGAGAATTTGGGATCAGAAAATATTCATCTTATTAATGATATGATAATATTAAATATTAATAAGGGTTTAAATTGATCAAATGGTCCTATTACCAATGCTCCTTTAAAATGAGATTTTTATATAGTGACGTTAATATCCGATGGTAGGATCGTATTCATTAGAGGTCGTGAACAAACTGATAACATCATTAAAAATGTCGTAGACATGAATCAAATTAATATTTATGATACAAAGTTATCATCTTGGTCGACAGTGGTATGTAATGTATATTTTTACGCTCTGTGAAAATTATTTAATAGAATGTTTATTTACTCTTGTATAGCAAGCAAAGGTAATACTAGCATTGAATCCCGCTTTTGTCATTCGGCTGTATTAGGTATCGTATTTTCGCAAAAAAAAAAAACTATTTATAAAACGTATAATAACTTGTGTATGATATATCATTATTAGCTCGTAATGGAAGAATAATTAGCTATGGTGGAGTGAGAGACACTGCAGAATTTTTAGATGTCAAAGCTACTCCAGACTTGGTAGTACTTAATACTCGAACGACTCCATTTGAATGGACTGTCCCACAAATATCATCAAATGCTGGTGATGTTCTGTCACTTTCGTTTCATACAGCAAAAATGATTGTAAATTATATGATTGTTGCCTTTGATATGTGACGCCTCTAAATGAATAAATCTTTATAGGTCTTAAAGATTTGATATTAACATTTTTATATTATAGGAAACATGACTCAAACTAGTGCCACTCTGTTAGCGAATAAAAATTCAATAATTTATTTATTAGATATTAGAAATTATACTTGGGTTAATCGATTTGATCCTGATCTTGCATATTCAAATCAAACACTATTAGATCCAAATGCTTCCATTGATACGGAAAGCCTACCAGATAGATCAAATTTAATGGGACCTATAACTGGTATATTAAGTGGAATTGTTATCGTCACAATTTTTAATGGGACCTATAACTGGTATATTAAGTGGAATTGTTATTGTCACAATTTTTATAACAATTGGAATTTTTATTCATAAATGGTATCAAAAAAGAAAGTACAAAATTATGAGAAATACTAGTTTTGCATATCGTGCATAATTTTAGACGCACGTATTAACCTTTAATTACTTTGGAGATATATATATATATTTTTTTTTTTACACGAACTAGAATGTAAAGTTTATGAAAAACTAGAATTGTAAATAATCAAATATTCTTTATTCTTTATTTTATTTTATCTCAAATAAACTGCCATAATTAATTGTAAGCAAGAAAAGATTCTCTGTTAAAAAAAAAAAAATCCTAAACTTAAAATTTTTATTTGTATGTTGTCCTGCACATGTGAATAAATTTTGATAAACATTATAATCACACAAATACGAATATGCAGAGCGATCTAATGTTGTATTGATTCCGATTTAATAATTTTCATTGAGTTTTATTTTTATTTTTACTTCTTACTTTAATATCAAAATAAGCATTTTTGTTTAATGGGCGTTGTCAGTTAAATTAAAATTTTCATTAAAAATTGTCATTTCGACCAAAAGATATAAAGCAGTTTTGAAGAAGTGTAAGCGATTATTGCAAGAATAACGAAGCCACTTTATTCTTTATTCCAATCTTACACGAACATTGTGATATCACGTGTTTAGAAATGAAAGTTTTGTGAGTTGCTGCGGTATTTGCCATTATTTGATGTAAGTTTGAAATTTTGTTCAATAGGAATCTCCAAAATCTAAAAAAAAAAATTGTAAAGAAGGCACAAAAGTTGAAAATTGAATATCAAGTCAAATAACTCGATAAATCGGTTAGAAAATTATGAAATTCATAATATATGATGAAGTTGATGGAAAGTATATGAATTAAGAAAAAGATAATTTCTATTTGTGCCTTTTGCACTCTTATCAAGGAGCACTTCCAAATTATTAGGTGATTATTTGTTAAAGAAATATTAGTTTCGTTCTTACGGTAATTTTAACGTGCTGCAAAGTTTCATTTAATAATGAGATTTAATAATAAATATTTGTGAGCACTTTACCATGTAAACTAGTTTATTTTTAACTATCAAATATATCATAAAATTATTTACATTATTCCTCTCATATTTTATATATGTTTCTTGACCATTTTCAAAAGAAATATTATTGATGATTGATGATTGACGCTGACCTTCGAATTATAATCATCGTTTTCGGGTATCTTTATATTAAAATTCCTTAATTCTTCATGCATATTCTCAGGGATAATGACTTTATAAGGACTGACTTTCTCATAAAGCTCGGCGGGATATATTTCCATAAATCAAATTAGGGGAATGAATTAACTTAAAGTCAATGCTTCATAATTCTCTTGATTTCATTAAGTTATATTATATTGCTGATACCTCACTTGATTAAAACATCACAATCATCAATTTCTATGACTACGAAAAAGTTTTTGAAGTTTAAAATGTCGTGTGTTTGCACAGATTGAATGAAGTCAATAATATTGCAATTTCAATAAGGCATTTAGTTCTAAGACAAAACTTGCGTTGAAAACAACCAAGTAATCATTATATCAGAATATTCTGTAGCATTTTATTAAATGTAATTATCATCCACGAATGTATTTTTTTTTTTAAAAAAAATAAATAAATAAAAATAATTAAAAACAAAATTATATATTATCAAAAACAAAAATAAATAATATAAAATACTTGAGAATCATGCTAAACAATTTATTGAACATGATCTTATATCGCATTTTGTAATCCACCTAGAAGGAAAACATATGGATAGCGTGCTAAATTATTTTGTATTTAAATTTCATCTGTTTGAATGATAACATTAAAATCATCAGATTCATTTAAAGTCAAAGAATCTTTGTAAGACAGATTGTGGAAGATTGAATTTTTAATTTTGCGTTTATATCTTGAATTACGAATTAAATTATTCAAATGTTAATTATCAGTATGTTTTAAGATGATTGTTACAATGGCTAGTTAATCATTACGCACGTGATGTATTAATTATTTTTAATAAAGATCTATGAATTATTAGTATTAGTAATCCCGATCAATAATAAAGGCCAAATTGACCACAGGGCGAATTGACCTCTGGCCAAATTGACCACTGCCAAAACGATCTCTAGTCCACTTGTCCTTTGGGCGAGTTGTCCCTTCAAAATTAATGTATAAAAAGGTGGGATTGATACTTGGGTTAAGAGAGACAAGTTTTTATATGATATATATATATATTTTTTATAGAAATTCCCCGATATTCCCATTAGTTAGCTAATTTTAATAGCCGTAGTAATTTCGCGATGATCATCATTTAATTCGTTTATAAATATAAACTCTAATCGCAACACTATGCTCCATGATGATATTCATTCTGCGTTCTTTAGTTATATGGGAGCTTTGCTATTAAAAGTGGGTTCTGAGACTATAAATTGATTTTGAGTTAAATGATGATCAAAAAATA